AAGGATACACTGTCCGGGTGGAAAAAGGGTATGACGTAGAGGAAATGATGGATAGGATCCTTGAGGGTCATAACCATCTTATGAACCTAAAGGATGTTTTGGCCTCAACCCCAAGGGTTCGGGACGAGCTCAAGGCTCGATTGTCTAGAAAAATGGTGGCTAGTGTGAGATTAGGGGTCATAATCCCTAAGGAAGCAGAATGGGCGGAGACCGGTACGAAGATGGATTGGAAGTATGTTGCATGTGGGTGCCTGGACGTAGTAGTAAAAGGGTAAACATACGCGGCAATGGTGGACAGTGGCGCAGAGATGAACCTCATAAAGGAGGAACATGCTTTGTGCTTGGGACTGGAAAAAAATCGCTCCGATAACGGAGTTCTAATGAGAGCAAATAGTCGGTCAGTGTTTGTGGGGACCGCGTTGGTAGTGATTTTGGAGATTGGGAAGGTGAAGGTGATAAGTTGTTTCTTTATAATGCTTGATCTCGATCATCCCATCCTGTTGGGCCGATCCTTCTTGAGCCGAACAGAGATCCTCATACTTAATAAGCATGATGAGGCAATGTTCCTCGTCTTGTGTGACCCAGTGTGTGACAATTATGAGATTGTCACGCGCAAAAATACTGGACTTAGAAGTATAAGGAACCGGCCCAACCCTGACTCTTTCACTATCGAAGATTCAGAAGAGGAAAGAAAGAGGCTAGGGAGCAGCGAGTTTGAAGAGGAAAGGAAGACGGAAGCGCTGACTCTTAGCCTGACCAGTATAGGCGATGTTATGGACATAGTGTCGACCTATGGGATGGCGGACCCGGAGGCTATAGAGGCCTTGAGAGAGAAGGTGATGAAACAGATGGGAGAAGGAGAGGTGGAGTTGGTATATCGGACGCCTGGAAGAATAGGAAGATCGCCGGGAGCCCAACCCTGGAGTGCAACTCGACTTTTTTTATGGGTAGGCTCAAGCAAGGGTCACAAAGGCGGTACAAAAGGATAGATCAGAAATGTCGCCCAATTCTCGTGCTCACAACCGAGGAACAAGAGGTTTATTACGAGCGGGAACGAGAGTTGATACGACAAATGCGTGAGAATGCAGAAAGTAGATCGTGTTGTATCAATCAGGAAACAGAAAAGGTGCTGATAATAAAAGAGCCAGATTTTCTTATAGCGCATGAGAGGCAGTTGACGGTGGAGACCATAAGGGGAAGACAAATTGTCTATGCCTTTAATGAGGATGAGCGTGGCCGCCTTGACGTTGATAAGATTTCGATGATTCCGATACATACCGTGCGACATGAACCATGAAATTTTCGAGGTGCGCGATACCCCAATCCGGTTGATGAGGAAAAGGTGGTCAACGACCTAGATGGAAAAATCCGCACGCATGTGTCGGACCACTCGAGTGGGCCGTATGCATCACCCTAGTTTTGCTTTGTCAAACCCGATGAGACTTTGCGATGGGTGCAAAATTTGCAGCGATTAAATGTTGTGACTGTAAGGGACGCAGGTGGTTTGCCGAATGCTGACGCACTTTCGGAAGCCTACGCAGGATGGTCTATAATTTCACTTATAGATCTGTACTCTGGTTACAACCAGTTTCCTGTTTACCCATCGGACAGACCGATGACAGCGATGCATACTCCTCGGGGTCTGATTCATATGAATGTCGCACCGCAAGGGTGGACGAATGCGGTTGCAATGGTTCAAAGGCATATGGTAAGAGCGATGCAGCCAGTAAGTCCTCATATCACACAACCATACATTGATGATCTGACTGTGAAAGGGTCAAAGGAAAAAGATGAGCAGAAAGTAAAGCTAAGGATTAGACGATTTGTCTGAGATCATGTGCAAGATTTATGCAAGGTCCTAGAATTACTAAAAGAGCATAACCTCACTGCGAGCGGAGCGAATTCCAAGCATTGTATGCGTGGAGCGAAAATCCTAGGGTTTGTGTGCGACGAGAGGGGTTGTCGGCCAGACACTAAGAAGACTAACAAGATTCTCGAGTGACCAACACCATTCGAGACAATCGACAATCACGGAAGTAAGGAGCTTCCTGGGAACGTGAGGGTTGGGTAGAGTGTTCATTAAACGGTTCGAGGCAAAGACGGAGCAATTGTGAAAGCTTGTGCACCAAGGTCAAGATTGGGAATGGGGAGACAAGCAGGAGTTGGTGATTAAAGGCCTGAAGAAAAAATTTGAGGAAGGAGGGTTAGTGTTGGGGGTACCAGATCATGCTGCCATACTAATAAGGTTTTTTATTGTGGAAACTGATCCAGGGTCAACTGCCTTGGGAAGTGTATTAATTCAGAAAGATTGCGAGGGGAAAGAATGACCTTTGAGATCGAAAGCCGAACGCTTAACACAGCTGAGAGAAATTACTCCCAGCTTAAGCGTGAGACTTTGACAGTTTTTCATTGCTTACGAATTTTTAGGAATTACCTCTTTGGCAGGCGGTTCGTGCTGAGAGTTGACCCAATTGCCCTGACTGGCTCACTTAAGAATTTCGCTCCTTTGGATCCAACCATTGCCAGATGGTTGACGTACATCTCGATATTTGATTCCGAGCTGGAGCGTATTCCTGGGAACAAGAACGAGGCAGATGGGTTAAGTCGCGTCGACTGGGATAAGAGTAATAAAGGGGTAGCCGAAGATACTCCGCCAGTCGATGGTTTTTTGGACAGGGAGGAGGACGTAAAACTTTACATTAACTTCTGGTCTCTGACCGTAGGTAAGTATGTTACTCTTGGGCGGTCTATATGGCTCGCTCCTCCAGGACATGTACGGTGGCCGGATATAGTCCTCAAACCCTATGTTGAGGAAGATTCATAGGAAATGCCAGGAGTAGGGTGGATGGTGGATTTGGCCTTGGCAGATAAGTACCAACTGCAGGAAGATCTGATCACGTTGGAAGGCAGCCATGCAGGCACGCAGCAGGTGGGCTGGCAGGGAGCCATGCAGGCACGCAAACAGGGCCATATATCGTATGGTGGTGACCCCTTGACTAATTATCCCTCCATGCAGCCATGCACGCATGCAGCCAGCCATGCAGGTATGCAGGCAGGTTGGCAGGCAGGCAGGCAGGCAGGAAGGTGGGTCGGCATGCATGCATGCAGGCAGGCAATGAAGCACGCAGGCTGCAGGTGTGCAGGCATCCCGGCAGGCAGGCAGGCAGGCAGGCAGGCAGGCAGGCAGGCAGATAGGCAGGCATCCTGGGATGCACGCAGGTGGGCAGGCATGCAGGCAGGCATGCATGCAGGCAGGCAGGCATGCATGCAGGCAGGCAGGCACGCATGCAGGCAGGTAGGCAGCCGGGCAGGTGGGCAGGGGAGCAGACAGGCATGGGAGCAGGCAGGCAGGGGCACAGACAGGTACCTGGGGAGAGCCAGGCAGCCAGACAGGGACCCAAAGAGGCAGGAGGAACCAGACAGACAGGGTTTTTTTTTTTTTTTTTTTTGGAAGGGCAGGCAGCCTGCAGATGACATGTGGCAGGCAAGCAAGCAGGCAGGTTGCAGAATAGGACCCAAACTCTGTGCCTCAGTCTGCGACTGAATCGGGCCCAAAGTCGGATTCGGATCCCAGCGGACGTAGACTCGGACCCGAGGCCCTAATAGAAACTCGGACCACGAGATATTCAGGCATACAGGCACGCACGCATGTACGCAGGCAAGCAGGCAGGCATGCAAGAAGGTAGGCAAGCAGGCACGTATGGAGACAGTCAAACAGGCAGCCATGGTCTGAGCCTGAGTCTGCACCAGGGTCTGGGCCTTCCCCATGAGTTACTGGGCTCGACCATGGCTGCCTGGTGGGAAGAGACTTTGGGCATGGGCCTGAGTGTTTCGAGAAAACAAAGAAAAAAACAGTTCCTTGCACTTTCAAAAAAGGGTCTGAGTTGTGGGCCTTGCAACAAAAGAACAAAACAAAAATTGGTCATTTTCCCATATTCTAGGGGAAGATTTGTTCACATTTGGTGAGCAGTGCGAGCAAGGTCCAATGACAGACTTTGGACCTCGCTCCCACGGCTCACCAAATGTGCAAGAAGACAAAAAAATTGGTGGTGCATCTTCCCATTTTCAACCGGAAGATTCATTCTCATTTTGCACATTTGCTGAGTAGTGTGGGAGCCAGGTCCAAAGACAAAGACTTTGGACCTTGCTCCCGCTGCTCACCAATTGTTAAAAAATCAGAATGAATCTTCCTCTACAACATGGGAAGGTACGAAGAAGGGGGGGGGGAAGGGCCGATGAACCGCAAAACGACACCAAAACAAAGTTGCGAAAACAGAAAAAAAAAAAACAAAAACTATATGCTTGGCGCCCACCACCTCGAGATAGCCCGTTGGTCCCCCCAATTGGCATTAAAAAGCAGTCTCTGCTGATGTTCATAGGGGGAGGGGTACTCAAAGAGGCACAACGACCGGCCACTCAGATGATGCTCGGTCCCTCTGCTACCGGCTGTCCCCTGGCCGGTGCCCCCCAGTGGGGGATCCTTGAAGGCTATCAGGCCACCCTAAGGCTATCAGGCCACCGTTGTCAGATTAGACACAAGATTGAATTTACCTGGGCTGGTTAGCCCGATGATAATACCTCAAGGCCATCGCCCTTTAAAAAAAAAAAAAAAAAAAAAAAAAAAAAAA